TATATATATATCTGTAATTCTATCTCTCTTTCCTGTCTATCTCAGTCTTTCTCTTTCGTCTTTCTCAATCATACAGTGCGCCGATTTTGTTCTTCGCCGATCGTGAAAAAAAAAAAATGTTTGATACAGAGACGTTTAACAAGAAGAATTCCAATACTACCATCGCCTGTGGGTGGGCGAAAATATTATTTGCACTCTTTGTCTGACCTCGTTTTCAGCCCCAAGCTTTTCTTTTATTTTCCTGAAAGATTCCATCAGTTATAATCTTTTCACGGTCTCATTGTTTGTCTTTTGATGTTGTTGTATTATTTTTCAAAAGTATTTTAGTGGATGGGTGTCACGTCTTCTGGTGTGGTTCGCTCCATCATTCCAATCAAACGTCCATTGTCCTTATCTCTCCTTCTTTATTCCATTGTTTACTCCTCTGTTGTAACACCTCTTATCTTTGACACTTATGTGGCCTAATTATGTTGAAAGGGCCGTAAAACTATTTCTTTAAGTTCAAATTTATTCTTTATTAAGCAGTTTTTGTAACACCTCTTATCTTTGGCACTTATGTTGAAAGTGCCGTAAAAGTATTTCTTTAAGTTTAAATTTATTCTTTAATGAGCAGTTTTGATTTTGCTGCTGGCGTCCTCAGAGAACATCTAAATGAGCAGATGGGGACGTAAAATCACTTAGATTTCAATTTCATTTTTTTTCCAGAGAACCTAATGTAAGTTTTAATAATGGGACGTACAATCACTTACATTTTACTTTTGTTTCCATGAACACCAATTGAATTGTGGCTAGATTTATAGGGACGTATAATTTCCATTTGAAATTCATTTTTTATTCAAAGAACATCTGTTTCTAACTTGTGTCAATGAGGATGTAAAAACCATCTATATTTAAATTATTTTTTGTTCTAAGAACATCATCTAAATTGTGCCGACGGAGACGTATAATCATCATTCTACATTCGAATTTATTTTTTCCAGAGAACATATTCTAAATTCTGTGGACAGAGACGAAAAATCACCAGCATTAGAATCTCTTTCTTTCAGAGAATATCTTTTAGATTCTGTTGATGGGACGTAAATTCAACTTCATTATTTTTTTTTTTCGGAGAACATCTAAATTGACAGAGACGTAAATAGTCTACATTTAAATTTCATTTTTTAAAGAGAACTTCTTAATTGTATCCATTGGACGTAAATTCAACTAGATCTACATTTTTTTCTGAGAACATCTGTAGATTGTGTCAATCAAAAACACTCATATTTAAATGATTTTTTTCCCCAGAGAACATGCCTCACACGTTCTTCCGGCTGATCCACAAGGCTCGGTCCCGGTCCCAGCGCCGCCGGGTGTACGCCTGGGTGCTGTGTGTCCTCGCTCTCGTCTTCTTCATCCTGTACACCAACCAGTCCGCGCTGCTCGCCTACACCGGCGGGACCGCCAGCAACATCATCCCGTCCTCACAGATCGACGCCGGAAACGCCGTCATTGACTTCCACAACAAGGCGCCTGCGCAACCGGAAGCGGGCCAAGACAACAACATCCGGGAGCGAATGTTGTCGCGGCGGGCGCCTGATATGAAGCTATTGGGTGCAGCTGACGCCAATATGCAGGTTGATGAAGGGGATGATGATGATATGGACGAAAGTCAGGCTGATCTGCTTCCCGACCTCTCCCCCGCCATCGTACACATTATCTGGTGTGGTAGGAAGAGGACTTTCGATTTCCGCCATTACCTGAGCATGAAGCGTGCTTATCATTTGATCAAACCCGACAAGATGATTTTCCATTACCAGAAACTTCCTACTGGTGACACAGAGCTGTATTATAACTGGTTCGATCTGATTAAATCGGAGATTGATAGTATAGTCTTCAGACCGCTAAACACGTCTCGATGTGATACATCTGGCCCCCACCGCTACATGCTAGCGCTCAGTCTTCTAGAGCAGTTCGGAGGGATTTTTGTCCCCGAGGATGCCATTTTGGTAGACTTCCCCGTCCATCTCAGAGCCTCACCTTTTGTGTCTGGTGTCGTGGCGAAGACTCTGACGGAGTACCTCGACGGCGTGATTGTTGCCAAAAAGAAAGGGTTCATCAGCCCTTCCAGTCAGTCGGGCCTCAACATCGTCCTAGCTTCTGGTCGCTCCGCCGCCCAAGGCATCATAGACCCCTGTGGCACCGTGAAACATTTCTCCGAGGAGGAAGACGGGGATTGTTTGTGCGTCAAAGTGGAGGAGGAAATATTCCCCAAAGACATCTGGGAGGCGAATACTCGCTTCGGTACCCTTGCTCGGTTAGCGGCGTATGGTACCAATGAGGTCAAAGCGACATCTCGCAATAGCTTGAGAAGAACTTCCATTCCGAAGATCGGCCATTACATCTGCTGGGATTGTGACCTCAAGTTTACCACGTACATCAGTGTCATGAGCTCTCTCTACGTCGCTGGACTCTCTAAGGTAATTCCATAGACTTATAGGCCTATAAAAATTTAAGACCGTTCACTCTGACGTAATTTAGTGTCATGAGTTCTCTACGTCGCTGGACTCTCTAAGGTAATTTCATAGACTTATATATTATAGATTGAATATTCTTACATAAAGCAGTGTCATGAGTTCTCTACGTCCCTATAGACTCTTTGAGGTAACTCCATAGAACTACGTGTCTTATAATATCTTAGACCTGCACTGTGACGTAATTTAGTGCCATGAGTTCTCTACGTCCATTGACACTCTATGATAACTCCACAGACTTACGAGTCTTGTCTTATTATATGCTTGGATATCTTAGATCGTGCACTTTGACGTACATCAGTGTCATGACTTCTCTTCGTCTCTAGGCTCTCTAAGGTAGTTCCATAGACGTATTTGTTTGATAATGTCACAGACGATGCAGACTTTCGTATTTCCAGTTCACTATGGGGCGCACCAATTGAGTTAATCTAAATATTTAAAAAAGTAAAAAAGGCAAGGGCCTAGCTCACTCGACGAAAGAAAGAAACACGTTTTCGTCTTCATTTAGAAGACTGTGTCCATATAAACGTAATGCCCTTGAATCTTTGCAAGGTGCAGAGAGCAAATTATGCTTCCTTCTTTCTATATCTACCCCTCCTTCATCTCCCTCACTCCTCCTCTCCCCTGCCCACCCGCTCTCTTTGTCTCTCTTACTTTCTCTCTCTCTCTCTCTCTCTCTCT